TCTTTTAGGATTTGAAATAGCTCACCTGGAATTCCGTCACCTTCACTAGCTATGTTTGTAGTGATGCTTCTAAGGCCCTCTTAACTTCGCATTCTAGGATGTCTGGCTCTAGGTGAGTGATCACACCATTGTGGTTATCTGGGTCATTAAGATCTTTTTTGTATAGTTCTGTGTATTCTTGCCACCTCTTCTTAATTTCTTCTGCTTCTGTTAGGCCCATACCATTTCTGTTCTTTATTGTGCCAATCTTTTGCATGAAATGTTAATATACACATTGGCCAGGAAGGGCATGACATTTCCCATAGAGAAGTGATTTCCTGATCTAGTCTTTGTTTCCCATAAGCCTCACCATTACATCTTCCTTTTTTCCCATAATTTTAAAAGATGGGAAGTCAAAGCAAGACTGCTAGTTTGGTTTTTGTTTGCTGTCTTTATTGAGCCTAGTAATGGTTGAAATATTTTACCAAGTGTTATTTTTTGTTAATTAATTAATTTTAATTGGAGGCTAATTGTTTTACAGTATTGTAGTGGTTTTTGACATACATTGACATGAATCAGCCCCGGGTGTACATGTGTTCCCCATCCTGACCCTCCCTCCCACGTCCCTCCCCATCCCACCCCTCAGGGTCATCCCAGTGCACCAGCCCTGCACACCCTCTCTCATGCATCGAACTTGGACTGGCGATCTATTACACATGTGGTAATAAACACACTTCAATGCTATTCTCTCAAATCATCCCACCCTCGCCTTCTCCCACAAAGTCCAAAAGTCTTTCTTTACATTTGTGTTTCTTTTGCTGTCTCACATATCGGGTCATTGTTACCATTTTTCTAAATTCCATATATATGCGTTAATATACTGTACTGGTATTTTTCTTTCTGACTTACTTCACTCTGTATAATAGGGTCCAGTTTCATCCACCTCATTAGAACTGATTCAAATGCATTCTTTTTAATAGCTGAGTAATATTCCATTTTATATATGTACCCACAGCTTTCTTATCCATTCATCTGCTGATGGACATCTAGGTTGTGTCCATGTCCTGTCTATTGTAAATAGTGCTGTGATGAAAATTGGGGTGAACGTGTCTCTTTCAATTCTGGTTTCCTCAGTGTGTGTGCCCAGCAGTGGGATTGCTGGGTTGTGTGGCAGTTCTATTTCCAGTTTTTTTAAGGAATCTCCGGTTTTCTCCATAGTGGCTATACTAGTTTGCATTGTTATTTTTCATATGTAATCCAAGGACTCAGTTTTAGAAAGCAAGTATATATTTTGCATTTTAAACCAATATGGGAAAGACCCATAAGTGTACATCAGTTTTTCTGGCCTCATCACTTTCTGACCTCAGCAACTGTGCTTTGAAGGATAGAAAACAGCAAAGCTGTGGACAGGCAGAAAAGCCATGGAATATACAGGCAGCAAACTTTTCCTCTCTTATCTGGTCTCCATTTCAGTTGTTGTAGACACTGTCTGAATTTTGCAACTTGGGTGAACCATTTTTCTATTGGTTTGGCCAGTAGTTCATTTAGGTTTTCCCTAAGATCTTGTGGGACAACTCGAATGAACTTTTTTGATCAACCCAGTATATGCTACTGACCGCTTCCTAGTGCAGAGCTTCCACAGAGAGGGTCTCCACTATCAGGAAGTGTAGCTCTCACTCCATGAAAAATGGAAAATCTGTCTGCTCTCCTCTTTTAGATGGCTGGGCTGCTAAGCTGAAACCTGAAAATCTAACTGTTGGAGGGAAGAGGGAGAGGAGGGTACCATTCCTGTATAGGCCCTGTTTGTAAACAGTGCCATGTTTAGTGGCTCAGAAAGTGGCCCATCATGAGACAGTGGTTCTTTAGACTGGAAAATAGATCCTGAACTGGTGGAATGAGAGGATTTTCCTCCCAGTTTCTGGGAAGGATGACAGTGTAATGGAGTTATGTAGTGTTAGAGACATGAAACAGCCCTTAGTGGTAGACTAACTCCAGACTTGTCCTTTTGAGAGAATGCAAGTGAGAAAACAGTTAAGTGAGTTGCCCAGGGTTGAGGTTGATGTCCCGTAAGTCTCTTGTAGGCCCTCTTACCTAGCATTCTAGATGGCCCAGGTGTCTCACGGGTGGGACTTACCCCCTTCCAGGCTCTGTTGTAAATGCCAGTTATTTGTTACTGGCAAGTGTTTCTTCTTTCCTTTGCAATGTGACCAAACCGAAACTTTCTACTTCAGTTGGTGTTAAGAAAGGCAAAAGGAAAAAGAAAGTCAGAAAAAAGCATTGTGTGCAGTGAATAGCTCCTATAAGCATGTGCTGTCATTTGGCTTTCAGACTCTGTCTTTTCAGGTGGAAGTGTTCTCCTCTTTGTTGTTCACATCAGTTTAACAGCTTGGAGCTTGCTCATCTCCAACCCACGGTGCTTCGTGCATCCCACTGCCCTGCACCTGGGTTTCCTCTGTCTGGCATTTAGGCATTTCTCTGGATCCAGGCTCTCATACTTTGGCCAGCTGATGCAAAGAGCTGACCAATTGGAAAAGACCTGATACTGGGAAAGATTGGGCAGGAGGAGAAGGGGATGACAGAGGATGAGATGGTTGGATGGCATCACCAACTCAATGGACATGAGTTTGAGTAAACCCCGGGAGATAGTGAAGGACAGGGAGGCCTGGCATGCTGTGGTCCATGGCGTCGCAGAGTCGGACATGAGTGAGCGACTGAATAGCAACTGGATCCAAGAGCCTCTGTGTGCAGCTTGGTGCTGCTTACACGAGTCAGACCGCTGGTGGTGCTCGTTCTCTCCTAACCATGTCCAGGGTCCCAAAGACTACCTCTCTCAAGCAATCATTCTGGATCCTTCCCCACCCCCAGAACTGGTTATCATCTCTGTATCTCTGAAGTATCTATCAAAGAGCTTTCTTCATTTTTTAATGAGTTCCCTGTTACATATTGCTTTACAATTTCCTTTTTTATCTTTTTCTGAACCCTTCCCCTCAGATTTTAGCATGATATCTTAAATGTAATGAACCAAATATTAAGTAAAGTAATAAATGAGTATGCAGGTGGTAATAGTCAAAGTGAGTTACTCATTTGATGTTTATAAAATTGAATCAAAAGGACCATGACTTTGGAGTTTTAAAATTTTTGAACCCCTTAAATTTATGAAGTATTGCTCCTGTTTTAAAGATTCGGCAGTTGTTCACAGTGAAGGCGAAGCTCAGCAGTTAGTTCGGTACAGGAGGACCAATGCAGCCCTGCTCAGCAGGCGGCTCCCTCCCGCGCTGGTCTCTGTGCTGCGCGGTACGGTGCGGAGGCCGTGCGGAGGGTGTAGGGAGCGAGGGACCCCGACTGCCTCAGCCCCATTTCACACGTTGTCCCATCAGTTTCATCACCGCAGCCCACAGTCTGGGTGTGGAACATGAGCCAGAATGAACCTTCCTCCAGGAAGCTGTAGTTTATCAAGGGAAGCAGCTTATCAGTAGTAAGTGGAAAGTGAGTCAGTGCTGCAGTCAAGGCTGGAGGTGAGGCCAGTCAATCACTCTTTAAAATAAGGTCTAGTTCACGTCACTGATGTGTTTTCTCGCAGTTTGTCCCTCTAGTAATTTCTTTTTATTATTATTATTACTATTATTATCGTCCCACTGCTTTTTTTTTAATTGGAGGCTAATTACTTTACAGTATCGTGGTTTTTGCCATACATTCTCATGAATCAGCCATGGGTGTACATGTGTTCCCCATCCTGACCCTCCGTCCCACCTCGCTCCCCACCCCATCCCTCGGGGTCCTCCCAATGCACTTCTAGTAATTTCTTGTGGCACTCTTAGTAATTCTACACCCTGAAATACTCTTCCACATAATCAGGAGTTTCCCACTGGTAAGAGACAACCCACATACAGACTCGTTTTATTTATCATACTGTTGTTCAGTCATCAAGTCATGTCCGACTCTACACGACCCCATGGACTGCAGCATGCTAGGCTTCCCTGTCCCTCACCATCTCCCACAGTTTCCCAAGTTCATCTCCATTGATTCAGTGATGCTATCCAACCATCTCATTCTCTGTTGCCCTTTTCTCCTTCTGCCTTCAGTCTTTCCCAGCGTCAGGGTCTTTTCCAGTGAGTCAGCTGTTCGCATGGGGCGGCCAAAGTATTGGAGCTTCAGCTTCAGCATCAGTCCTTCCAAAGAGTGTTCAGGGTTGATTTCCTTTTAAGACTGACTGGTTTGATCTCCTTGCCATCCAAGGGACTCTCATGAGTCTTCTCCAACACCACAGTTCAAAAGCATCAATTCTTCAGTGCTCTGCCTTCTTTATTGTCCAGCTTTCACATCAGTACATGACTACTGGAAAGACCATAGCCTTGAGTTTTTGAACCTTTGTTGGCAAAATGATGTCTTTGCTTTCTAACACAATTATCTAGGTTTGTGATAGCTTCCCTGCCAAGAAGCAGTCGTCTTCTGATTCCATGGCTACAGTCACCGTCCTCTGTGATTTTAGAGCCAAGAAGAAGAAATGTGTCACTGCTTCCACCTCTTCCCCTTCTATTTGCCGTGTAGTAAAGGGGCCAGATGCCAGGGTCTTAGTTGTCTGAATGTGGAGTTTTAAGCTGGCTCTTTTACTCTCCTCCTCCATCTTCCCTCATCAAGAGGCTCTTTAGTTCCTCTTTGCTTTCTGCCATTAGAGTGGTATCATTTGTCACAGTAGAGTTTTTTAAAGGATCACTTCAGGCTTGGCTGATAGAGTCTGTTTTCTTATACTTGCTTATTAATTCATCTGTTTTTAGTGGACTGTGTGTATACATTTGACTTTGCGACCTCTGTGTGAAATTAATAGTATATTCCAACATTATATCCACATTTGAAAAATAGAAAATTCTTAATTATACCCTTGCTTTGTTTTTTGAGGACTTTTGACCAATTGCTCTGTATTTATCTATGAATATCTGGTTATAGAAGCAAGGCCTAACTCTAAGGTTGTTTGGTAATGAATGTCCTAGTCATTCACTGTAAAATCACTGTTTTCCCTCCAGGTCTTGGTAGTAATATCAGAATGTTTGTACTTGCCATTTCCAAGAAATTTATCTGAACATTCTGGTAAGTATGACAAATTTATGAGATAGAGTATCTTTAGAAGTCTGTGGTATGCCTTTCTGTGCTCATAGTGAATTTCCCCATGGTTTGCTGGTGACCAAACCATAACCACTACCAAATTCCTTGAAATGTGTTCTCTAGATAGATTTGAGCAAGCATTCTTTTATGTCCTCTCTTACATTAAGGAACATTTCATTTTGGCAATTACTGTTTCCCTTGAATTGTATGCCCTTCATTAATCAGTTGACATGTTCTCCTTCATTCAAACTGGGATGAGCAAGGTGGGAGGGGAGGTGGCACTCACCAATAATGGCCCTGCGCCCTTTAAAGCAGTCTTCCCAAATCCTTTCACTACTGCACACTGTTTCTGGGACCAAATACCCCTGGATTTCCATGCTTTTATTCCTGTTGTTTGCAGAAAGACTTTGTTTTCTGGGCCATAGTTGTGTCCTGTGGAATCTTAGTTTCCTGACCAGGGTTGTACCTGCACTTCCTGAAGGGGAGGTGCGGAGTCCTAACCACTGGACCGCCAAGCAGGTCTCCTTGAAGACTCATGAGACTTTGTAGTTGTTGAATTTTATGTGAGCCTAACTAAATGAGCTTATAATTCTTTTTTAATTCTTACAGTTTTTAAGGCTTTCAGACTTCCATATATAATTATAAACTATGTTATATTCCTTAGAATTCTTAAAAGTAACAGAATCCCAGTTTAAAGTAACCTACAGGAAAAAAGAAAAATCCATTAGTTTACAAAGCTGAAAAATCCAAGGATGTTCTGGTTTCATGCTTAGCCTAAAGATGATAGGTTTCTGTCTCTGTGAAGCTGATTCAGTGGCTTTCAACAGCCCCAACTCACATTTTATCAGTTTAACAATCCCTCTAGAAAGAAAGAAAACTTTTCCTCCTCACTCTGGCCAAAAATTCCTGGAAAGTACTCCAACTGGCTCTGCTTAAGTCAGGGTTTGAACCAATCACCATGACCAGTGAGTGTTTCACTGAGCATTCTACAAGGTACCTAACACAGAGCACAGAGGAATCTTTGCCCTCCATGCCCCTGGGCTGTGCCCAAGTCAGCTTGGTCAGCGAGTCTCCAGAGAGAGGTGGAGATGCCCTGGGTGGGGCTAGGATGCCATCCAGAGATCTGTCCTTTGTTTCAAGATGGAGAAAGCCATCCTATGCCCCATTGTTTCATTTCACAGCTAAATGCAACCGACTACTGAATGACCTTTTTAAAATTGAAGTATAGTTGATGTCCAATGTTGTATTTGTTTCAGGTGTTCAATAGAGTTGATTCACTATTTTTATAAGTTATACTCCATTTTAAGTTATGATACTGGTTATATCCCTATGCTGAACATTACATCCTTGTATCTTGTAGATTTTATACCTAGTAGCTTGTACCTCTTTTCCCCTTCCCCTCTCTTGCCCCTCCGGTTGGTAACCACTAGTTTGTTGAGTCTGTACAAGCCACTAGTTTGTATGAGTCTGTTTCTGTTTTATAATATTCATTTGTTTGTTTTATTGTTTTAGATTCTACATACTAGTGAAAGCATTTTGAGTGCCCATTGTTTAATGAGAGAATGTTCCCCCTCTCTTTCTTCCACAGAGCAGAATCTCAGATCAGAGAAGGTTCATATAACTGAACAGTTGCAGGATGTAGAGGAGGAAAAGGATGATTCAAATGAAGAAGAAAACAAGGACAACCTTGTAGATGACGAGGATGAGAAAGAGGACCTTGGGTACGAGGAGGAAGCAGAGGAGGAAGAGGAGGACGGCCCGGCTGCTGGTGTGGACGAGGAGAAGAATGAAGCCCAGGACCCGGAGCCCCCGAGGGAGGCCCGGGAGGACGAGGGGCCTGGTGAGGTGGGAGATGACAGCCTGGAGCAGCCCGGCCCGGCTGGCACAGAGGCGGTGGGAGACTCGTTGAGACAGCGCAGAAGTCAGCATGCTGACAAGGGGCCGTCGGCCTGAGGACAGTGTTTCAAGGAATACAAACCAAAAGAATGTGTTGACTTCCCCTTTTGTCTGCAGTTTAAACCAAATTCTTATTTTCTTTTTGAATGAGCAAGCTTCTCTTAAGCGGTAATCTTTAGCCATTTAGTCTCATGGCATTAAGCCTCGTGTATGTTAGGGAGAATCTTTCAGGCATGACAATCAGGATACAGAAAAACAAACATGGTGCTAGGGTCTGTTTGGGGCTGGGGGTGAGCACACGTTTGTTTACTCCGGGCTACAGAGCTCTGACCAGAGAAGGCGGTCCCCAGTGTCGGGAGCACTGTTACGGGCACATCCAAGGCTGAGGTGAGGCCCTTTACGTGAAAGCAGGGCAAGCTGAGCACCCTCAGAGTGTAGCAGACATCTTGCTTCCTCTTGTTTGAGTATTTATTTTTGTCAAACTAAGAAACATCAGGCACCATACACAGGGGTACTTTTTAGAGCTAGAAGTTGAGAGGGCCTTGGAGATTATTGTAGAGAAAAGCTTGGAAATGTTCCTAACTCTGAACCTCCCTTCTTGTGTTTTACTTCTTACCTTTAACATTTCCAGTTTTCCCGCCATGGGCCTGTGGGCTCCCCACCCTCTCAGCAGTACTTCTTCAGTGAGAGGACGCAGGCAGCAGGCAGCTCGATATCACTGTATGTGTTTTGCCTCAACGGTTTAGATGGTCAAGCAGCACAGCCCATGAAGCCCTGACTGCCAAGCGTCTCAGACAAAATGTTGTTACCTCTGGAGATTCAAAAGGAAGTAGCAGTTTTACAGGAGAGATTTTGGTTGTTTTTAGCCAAAATGTAGTCTTTTTTTATTTTTTTCAAAAAGCTCCTTTAGCAATATTCTTTTACTGAAGAATATTGAAGTCAGAAATCTCCTACGTCTTGCCAGTACAAGGTAATCTTATGATGAAAACTTGAATACTGTGTAGTTTTGTTTCCATTTCAAAGGGTTCCCTGACTCTTGAACCAGTTTAATAATAACTGAAGAAACATTTCTGGTTTTCCTTCACTGATATGCTTTAGATGAAAGAACTAACAAAAGTGTATATCTGAAAATGAAAGGTTTGATTTCGTTTGCTTCTTCCTTAATCTTGTAAAGAATTTTATTCCTATAAATCTCAATGCTTAGTCTGCTAAAAGTACCCAGGGGGCTCAATGTCCTTTAAAAAATCCATCCATCTATCTGATTTATGTGTTAGAATAAATTCAGAATATTAGATTCCAAGCTTATGAAAGGTGTCTAAAGTTTTTTATTCCAGATGGAATAATAAGTAATACAGGTTTATGGAATTTAAAAAGCTTCTGTCATTTTTTTTCTTTTTAATTTATTTTTTATTGAAGGATAATTGCTTTATAGAATTTTGCTGTTTTCTGTCAAACCTCAACATGAATCAGCCATAGGTAAACACATATACCCTCCCTTTTGAACCTCCCTCCCCATCCCACCCCCTAGGTTGATTCAGAGTCCCTGTTTGGGTTTCCTGAGCCATATAGCAAATTTCCCTTGGTTATCTAGTTTATATCTGATAATATAAGTTTCCATGTTACTCTTCATCTTTAAGAAGAAATATGCAGTACACTCCTATCTGCTGTTTAGATAACCCTTATCTTGTATTAACTTTGAACATGGGCTCACTGGAGGAGGGGGAGGTTCTGAAACTCTGCCCTGATATGGCTGAATGAGCCTATTGCAAGCCTCACACAAAGGGAGTTTTTATTCTGACAAGAGTCCAGTTTTTAGAGTTGGTTATTTTTCATCTTTCCCACTTAGTCGCCTGATAGTCTCATCCCCCAGTGTGATGACATGAAGAGTTGCCGATAATTTTTCTCTTTAGACAGCAATACAGTCTCAAGTTTGAGGCCATCACAGAACTGACAGGCTGGGAAAACCTTGACTTGTGCTCACTTCTTGCCCGACCACCATCTGGGGCTCTGACACCTCCTCACCCAAAGCACCAGTACCAATGGTACCTCCAGGGAGGCAGCTCCATCTCCCTGATACCAGGAAGCCTTTCTGGAGCAGAGACAAGCTGAACCTGCCCTCCTGGCACTGGATTCTGTTTTCTTTTCTAATCAGCTGAAACAAAATTTTCAAAGATAATTCAATTCAAGTTCAACAGTATGGAATAAGAAAGTCTTCATAGTTTGGCTTTTCTGTATGATACTTACCCACAAGCCCCCTCCCCCATATTGAAATAGTTCTTTTTCTGTGAGTGAAATATTTTACTAAAGGAGACAGAATGAAGAAATAAAATCTACTTTGGCTTTTTATAAATGTAAGGCCAATTTCCAGCTGGACTTCTAATAGTATTTAATTATATAATAAAACTGTATTTTCTTTCTCAGCAATACTAAAAAAAAAATAGAGGAAGAAGAGAAAACAGTTTGGAAATGTGGATTCATTAAAAGTTGAAGTATTTGCTATGGGAATTGTTTTTACAGGTTTTTTTTTTTTTTAAATTCTGGTGAAAGATGTATACAATGGAATTTAATTTCTTTCCACTTGCAACTTTTAGGCTCATTTTAAGTACTTTCTGAATATAAAACTAAAGGAAAATATCAACTCAAAATAATTTAAAAATAGATTAACATTTCAATAAGATTTGATAGATTTTTCCTGTAGGTAATATATTTAATCCAGAAGTCAAGTGCATAGAAATATGATTTTGATTCAAAAAATGAATTATCATACCTCCCTGTATTTCAATATCAGTTACTTAGTTATAGAATATCAAAGTTAGGTAAATTAAATAAACTGTTCATTTGGGAATGGGTGCAGTGCCTTCGGTGTGAGAAGTGAGAGCAGAGTGCCTGTTCACTGGTTAGAGGGAAAGTTTGAAACCTCCAGTTACTGTTTCCTTGATTTCTTCCTTTTATTATTTATCTCTTGGCAAACGACCCCAGCTTGCTTCGAGTTCTCATTCTGAAGCAACATGTAGGCAGTCTACTTCTTTCTTTCCCTTTAAACTGTAAGTGTGAATGGATGAGAAGCTGGTTCATTCAACTCACATGGCTTGACACCCATGAGCACACACCCACTGCTTTATTTTGGCACAAGATCCCAGTTAGCCACAAGCCTCTCTGACTACAAGAAGAAATCTGAAATTACTACTGTGATAAGAAGCAAGACGCTTTGGTCAGGCTGATACTGTCAGTGGAGAAAGCCAGATTTTGACTCTCTTGTGGCCCAAATCCTTGTTGATAGCTGTGGTATTTCTACATGATTTGGGTGTGTGTGATTTGCGTAGATGATAGAAGTGTCTTTTAAGGCAAGTACTTGGCATGTGACTTTCTATTACCAAGTCCATTAAGAGTGAAGCCTGATTTACAGAATGAGAAACATTAAGGAGTCCAAAGAAGGGTACAAGTGATAAGACATACCTGAGCTTTTAGCCTAAAATGTTAAATTGGCATGAAGTAAGAAAAGGAAGGGGAGACTGGTGCTTTTGTTAATGTGTATCAGTAGTTGCATTATGTCCTTTATCTCAGTGTTAAAGTGTTATTTCTGCCAGTATTATAAATGTGTGGTTCATCCATCCTTTCAAATAATAACATTTGGGAAAATAGTGATGTAAATCTTCTGTGCCAATAGAAAAGTTCCTTCTTGTTCAGTATCTGTTTATATCAGTCTACATTATGATCCCTTTTAGAAGATTATAGCTTATTTTGAAAACCAAAAGTGGAGTCAAGTCAGATCAATCTGGATGGGGCAGCTTTTTGAGCATCTTTCCTGAGCCAGGAGGTTTGCTCAAGGCCTTTGATAGTTTCAGATCAGGACACATGGCCTTCAGATGGCTTATTCTCAGTGAAACTTTGTGTGAACTGTGACACTGTATATATATGACTCATACAACTTTAACATGTTTCAGTGTATTTTAATCATTTGTTACTAAGCAGTGCAAATGTAGCTTCTTCATGCAAATGTAGCTTTATACTAAAAATACTATTTATTTGTATTGCAATACATTATACATTTGTTATTTATATTCTTGTAATTGTCTTAATTTTTTAGCCTAGTGATACTTGTTTTTCTCTTCATCTGTATTTTCCTCAAATGGCATCAGCAGCAACTGGAGTAGGAGATCAAGATATGAGCCTCAGGCAGTACATTGCCTGAATTACAGATCACCGTATCACAGAATTGTATGTGATCCTTGATGCTATTTGTTTTCATTTTATTGTAAATTTCCACTTGCATCAAAACCTAATGATGGTGATAACTAAGTAAAAAGAAAACAAAACATAAGTTCTTTTTCATACAAGAAATTCACAGAAGTCATTTGCCTAGGCAGTGAAAAATATTACTTTGTTAAAAAGTAATTTTCATGTGTCCATCCTCCATCCTGTCTGTTCATTGTTCCTCTCTTCCTCCTCCGTGACTTGAATCCTGAACCCTTGCTTTAGTTTCTCTGACAGGTTCACAAAAACTCAGGAATGAGTGAAAAGATCCAAGGCTTCCTCCTCATCATAGTTGTTGTGTTGCCTATGGAAACTCACTGCCTTTAGGTCCCCTCTTTCCTGAGGTCTGGAAGTGGCCGGCGCTGGAGCAGATGGCAAGGGATGCTGCTAACCCTGCAGGACCCTGAGCTGACCTGGTCTCCTGGGACATACAGAGGACTGCACTGATCCTTCCTTGTCAGTATAGCAGTGGAAAAGCCCAAAGGACAAACTCCCTCAGAGACTGGGGTGAAATAATGGAATTAGAGTTTTCACTTTTGAAAGATGTTAGGGACATGTGTGGGCTTTCCTGGTAGCTCAGCTGGTAAAGAGTCTGCCTGCAATGCAGGAGACCCCAGTTCAATTCCTGGGTTGGGAAGATCCCCTGGAGAAGGGCTAGGCTACCCACTCAAGTATTCTTGGGCTTCCCTGGTGGCTCAGATGGTAAAGAATCCACTTGCAATGTGGGAGAACTGGATTCAATCCCTGGGTTGGGAAGGTGCTGCCCTGGAGGAGGGCATGGCAAACCACTCAGTATTCTTGCC